ATCCAAAGTGCTCTTCAAAGATGTTATCAAAGCCATCAAAGACTACGCCTTCAAAGTACGTGAGATATTCACTGACTTTGGATGTTTTACTCTGCCTATGTTGGAGACCGCATTGAATTCCCAGCCCTTTCCTCGCCTTAACACATTAGAAACTGGAAAAGGTCTGAAGTTCACCTTCACATTGTTCCCTTTGTTTTCCAGACTTCCCAGTACCCAGTGATTCTGTCTCTGGAGAACCATTGTACAGTTGAGCAACAGAAGGTTATGGCCCGTCATTTGGTCTTCTTCCTGGGTGACGCTCTGGTCAAAAAGCCTCTGGGTGACACCATGCCAACTAACTTCCCATCACCTGAGGTGTGGAACCCATTATCTGTATTCACTGACATACGATATATCATCTTGGGATTCTTACCCTAATAAAAAAAAATCACCAAAGGAAGACCACCCCTTAACATTTTCATTCCTAACACGCTACTGTGCCAGATTTCTCACTTTGCTGTTTTCCTTAACGTGACCCAAGTTTTGTTTAGGAAACAAAGCTAATGTGATACAAGACATCATCGATCTATAGCCTCAGATAAAGCTTGTTTCACTTTGCGCCTACTGAGTAGCTAATGATTTGCTGTAACAGCTGAGTGAGTGTGTTTGAGACAACACCTTGTTTGATAACAGAGACTTCTAGTGAACAGAATTTAGTCTCCAAATACAATACAATACAATACAATAATAAATGCTAGAAACAGATTTACATGTCATACATGAAATAAGTGTTGATCACCTACAACCCAGCCACAATGCTGATTCCCACTGACTGGGTTCTTATGTGTATAGAGCTCATCTGTCCACAGAAACAATTTTTTTCCATTCCAACCTCTCCACAGGAGAAATGGTGAATATGATCTAGAGAACACCATCCCCACAGTCAAGCACGGAGGTGGAAGCTTTATGCTTGGGGCTGTTTTTCTGCTAAGGGTACAGAATGACTTCACTTCACTGAGGGGCCAATGGACAGAGCCATATATCATTAAATCTTGGATGACAACCTCCTTCCCTGAATATTTATTAAAAAATATATATAAGGATGGGTCTTCCGGCATGACCCAGCATTCAAATCAGTGACCAAAACCATTATGTCAAGGCAACAAATAAGTGGCTAAAGAATAAGCACATTAGCTCATGGAGAGGCCTACCCAGTCTCCAGACCTCAGTCCTTCAGAAAAGCTGGAGAGGGAGCTGAAAGTTTGAGTTGCCAAAAAGCTAAAATTTCAGGTAAGAAAATCCCCAAAAGTGGGCGTAGGGTTTTCAGTGCGAGAAACGTTTTGTCACTCATTGGGAGTGGGAGACAAGAAAATCCAGATAACCAAAATAAACTTTTTGGGAAGAAAGCTAAAAGATTTAGAGCGTGTTTGTAAAGATGAATGCCAAAACCCCTGCTGAGATATGTGCAAACCTGGTGACCAACTACAAGAACCTAAGTACTAAGTCATGTTTTGGTTGAGGATAAAAAGGGATTAAAAACATCCCTCAATGACGGCTGAATCAGTTTCTAACTTCTGCTTATTGTACTTTTTCTGGATTTTTTAAATAACAGTCTGTCCCTTTCCATTAAAAGGAAACTAGCATAAAGATTACAGATTGTTCATTTCCTTGTAAGTACGCAAACTTACAAATTCGGCAGGGGTCTCAAATCATTATTTCCCCCACTTTTATGTGTTACTTTGGGAATTTGCTGCAAAATGATTGGAAGACCTTGACAACTGAAAAAGACAAGAAATAGAGAGAGAGAGAGGAAATAATTTTTTTAAAAATTCAGCTCCCATGAAGTGGATGCCTGTGGCATTTTCAGCCTCAACACAAATTTAAGTTATGCTTTAGTCTGTTGGCTGTTTGGAGGGTGACTATCAGGAACGCAGTCTCTGTTGTCACAGTTAAATGTGTGCCTGTCTATATTAAGCAAAGCAACTTTGATTTCCAAAGCACAGCACCGTGTGTACCTTAAGTGTTAGAAATGACACAACAAAACACATTTTGTGTCTCTTTGTAGGCACTTAAGGGAAAGTTCCTCATCAAGGGAAAACGACTGAACAAACTGGATTCGATCTTCACCAATAACAACGTGATAGAGGATGGCACCGTGTCTGAGGAGGACGAAGCTGCAGAGTGTAAGGAGAATAGCCAGAAAGAAAAACCAAAGGTGTGCCAAAGGCTCTTTACTCATTTGCAAGAAATTGAAATAACAATTTTCAGTTTCAGATTTCACGTTTGTCTCTCTGTTCTTGTTTCAGAAATCAAATATCAAACTCGACAAAGAGCTCTCAGACATCGTCATCTACTGTAAGAGCGTGCACTTTAACAGCTTTGAACACGCCAGAGAAAACCAGGCCTTCTATGAAATGTCGTCCTTCAAGGAGAGTAAAGCATTCAACCTGGCTGAGACCTCAGGTAAACGCACGCTGCATTAACTGTCTTTATTGCCATGCTTGAACTCACAGTTTAAAAAAAACATCTGCTTTAACTTGTTGTAGCTACTGCCTTCATGCACCACAACATGGACAAACTCAGCAGGATCTACCCTGCTGGCTCCAGAACCGACTCCTCCAACTATAATCCGGTGCCCATGTGGAACGTTGGCTGCCAGATAGGTGTGCTCCAATACGCAGCAAGCAAACTAACGTAAACCAATTAAAACTAATGAAACAGTTTGACGCTTTTTCCTCTTTGATTTGGTTTTTAGTGGCGTTGAACTTCCAGACTAACTCCAAGGAGATGCACTTAAACCAGGGACGGTTTCTGATGAACGGCTTCTGCGGCTACATCCTGAAACCTGAATTTCAGAGAAACCTGTCCTCTCAGTTTAACCCCAACGCACTTACCGAAGGGTCGTGGCTGAAGAAGAAGATCTTTCATGTCATGGTGGGAGTTTTTTCCAGAAAGATAAGCCTATATTAGAGGTTAACGGTGTCCTGTGAAATTTCCTTTTTAAAAGAAAACAAAGTTCACAAAGTTTACAGTATGTGTAGTGTCAACTTGCTAATGAGCTTTAATCATTTCCCCTAGCTCTGGCCTAGAAGTTTGAATCCTTTTATCTTTGTTTGCCAGCTTGCAGCTATTTAAAGGAATTTTAACACAATCATTGGCTGAATAGTTACTGACATAACCTATCTTGAAAAGAGGAGCTACTTTTAATGTTTTTTAATCCTCAAGTCCTTTTATTACATTTTGTATTATTAGTTATGATCTGCACAGTAGCTAGTAGCACTTAAAATAAAGAAAGTGGATTTTTAGCCTTTTTTAACAACTGATTATGCCACCACTTGATAAACAGATTAATCATCATGCTGGTGGTGAAAGCATCGAAGCGTGCTGTGGAAGCTGGACATCATGCTGTAGATATCTAATCAAATCTGAACGTAGACTGTAGTTGGACTGTCACGTGATCGCGTCTGTGCATTTTTGTCTCACAATTCAACAGGTGATCTCAGCTCAGCAGTTACCTAAAATCAACAAGGAAAAGCAAAAATCCATTGTAGACCCTCTGGTGAAGGTGGAGATCCATGGTGTCCAGGCAGACAATGCCAGCAAGGAAACACATCACATTGAAAATAATGGTGAGCGTTATATGTGCAAGTATAGCATAAGTGCACTTACTTGTCAAACACTTTTTCAGAGAATTTAGAAAAACACAGATATTCGTCCTTGCAGGATTCAACCCTATGTGGAATAAGAAATTCCAGTTTGACATCAGTGTGCCAGAGCTGGCCTTGGTGCGATTTCTGTTGGAGGACCACGACACAGCATCGCAGAACGATTTTATCGGGCAGTACTGTCTGCCACTCACCAGCGTACAGAACGGTAAGAAAGCTCACAGATTTGATGAAGCTAACACGATAAAGCAACGCGACACCAACTCAGAGTTAGCAACAATCTAATTTTCGAAGAGGCCGATGACTGAAATGGTCTGTGCGGTAATTAAAATATGGAAGTGTTAAGACAGTATCCTCTCTTTTCAGTGCTCGCTCACAGCTTTGACTTTCTTTGTGCACTATTATCACATTATTATCTTCTTTAGTTCCACTTTAAACATACTTTTTCTCCCTTATTTAATTCTTCTGTGTGGACCGCAACAAAACAGAAATTAAACAGATACAAATTCATGTAAATCATAGCTCAAGTGATTGTTTTGCATCTTTTTTTGTGCTACGCTTTATGAACCAGCTTCTCATTTTGCTGACAAAGCTCACGCTCGCTTCCTGTTTTCCAGGATATCGCCATGTCCCGGTGCTCAACAAGAGAGGGGACAACATTTCTTCTGCCAGTCTGTTTGTGCACCTCATGCTCCTGGATGCCCCGTAGGCCTGTTTGCAAAAAGAAAACCAAACCAACTTCACGTCTTTTGTAAATTCTAATGGAATTTAAAACCCAGATTTTAAAGCTAAATAACTTGACTCTAGTTTTCGTTTTGTTTTTTTACATACCACAGCTGCTGACTCACAAGTGTCTGACACTTTTAGGTCATTGTATAATTTTAGCTTTTTAAAAGCCGGTTTGGTGGAGAGCCTTTAAAGTGACAAAGAAAGAATGAAGTGAATGAGAGGAAAAGTAGCCAACTATATTCACCATTCTCTGGAGAAGTTTAATTAATGTGCATTATTATGTGAGTTTTGTGTGAATCCCACCTGAAATATACTAGATTCTCAGCAGCTTTACGGGATAGTCTTATGAGACTTGATTTAAACTTTGTCCATCTTGATGCCATAAGAGTGATAATGACAATGTTGATAGCAAGTGACATAGTGTGTCTGTGTGCTTCTGTCCTTTCATTATGAATGCATTATAAATGCTCCCAGCATTGTATATAGAAGATTTTCAAGATGGTGCCTGAAACAAGTTCTAATATTTTGTGTCATGGTTTATTTGTGTCTTCCATTGCTCTACAGCATTTTTACAGTTCACACATTTTTGCACTAGCTCTTGAATTAAACCACTCCCCGAATCCCCGGTCAATGGTTTTCTGTTTATTCACTGCATTTGTGATTCAGATAAAATGCTAGCAAAACATCATCTCAGTATGATCTACATGAAATGAAAAAAAAATATACAGATAAATATAAAGCAGAATAATTAAAAAAATAATCTTAGAAATGTCAGTCACGTCCTTTAAATTATTACAAGTTACATTCATGGTCATAATCATAAATACCATTTGTTAAATCTAAACAACTTGGGATGTTGGTCGATTTTTTTTTTTACCCCTCTGACAGCAAAACAAAATATTGAGATGAAGGTCAGAAGCTAAAATGCTGCCGTATAGTTTGGTTTACAAGCGGATTTCTCAGCAGACAGGCTGGAGATGTGTGATTCCTTCTCAGAAAATTCCTGCTTTCTTCTTTAAATCATTCTGGCGCCACTTTGGCAAGCGCTGGAAGTCTGCGCGAGTAGTACTGAGCAGGTTCTCAAAGTCCAGGTCAGATAGATAATCCTGCCAATCGGAGCACAGAGGATGGGAAACGGTTAGACTGACCTCTGCTGTACACAGAGCTCTAGGCACAGACAATGGCAAGGCCTCCCACCCTTTCTTGGAAAGCCCCATATTGTCTCTTTGTAGTGTCTTTGTGTCTTTTTGTGGTTGTTCATGACTCGCTAGAAGCATTTTATGTGGCTCTGCAGTCACTTTTAATCTCTTCGTAGTCACTTTTCATCCATTTGCAGCTGTTTAGTGACCTTTTCAGTTGATGATTAAAATAGCTTCATTTATATTACTACATGTTAATCCAAATTCAGAGAAATGAAAGAATCCCATCTGATGGAAATAATACTTTTAACTTGCTAACAAGTGCATATTATGTTTTTGTGTATGCTAGACAACATATCACACGATTGGTGGCTGTGGAGTTTTGACTTGAAATGGCAGTACAGTCACAAAAATCTGCTTTGCTGCAGGTAAACATACTAAATAGGTGTCGAATCATATTGAAGTATTTTTTATGGTGACGTGATTAATTTTACTAAAAAAAAACCCCCAAAACAATAACTTCTAAATTGTAATTGTCATGATTAGACGTCACTTTTAAAGGTGTTAATTAATGCCCTGAGAAGGACGTTAAACAATAATCAAATGCTGATTTTTACCATTTATAATTGATCTGCACACACACCTCTTTCTGGGTGGCATCCACTCCTTCTGGTAGCTCGTCTGGAGTCTTGTTGACGAGGAGCTCAGGGTCAAAAAACTTTCCAGCTCCAGAAGAGGACAAGGAACTAGGAGAGGAGGAGGACATCCCAGACTGGGGTCTTGTAGGACTAGAGGGTCTGGGGAAAAAATCTGTTTCATCTTGGAAGTAGGCCTTGTTGGGTGGCGGAGAAGTTAGAGGGCCCCCAGGTGCTCTGTAACCACCCCCACCTCCCCCAGCGGGAGTCTTGTTCAGCTTAGTGTTCTTCAGGTCCTGCAGCCACGAAAGAGAAGTTTTACAGAAGCAGTTTCACAAAAAAACAAAGGTAAACCTCCGAGATGTAGACATTCACAGGTTAGCAACACTACTATATATGACATTAAAGATGTTAGTAGGTATTACAGCTGTGATATTAGCACATCAGTGTGAGTCACTTACTAGAGTGATCTGTGAGATAGATGTTGAATCACTCAGCTTGTTTTTCATCTCCTCATAGGAGTTGCCTCCCTGTTCAGAAGATCAACGGAACCAAGATTCGTCACAGTAAAGGTTAGTATTCGTGCAGTGACTTTTTCATCTTCAATTAATCCATTGAATCATCCACTTGTGTTTGTAAGTTGTTCCTAGCTTCTGAGATGATTAAATCAATTGATTGCATGTTATTGTAATGGGAATTTGTAATGCCTTGATCATGCTTTCTATGGGATCCCAGAAAGATGAAAGGGGAAACTGTTATAAACTCACGCTCCACTTGTGGGGATCCCACGCATTGAACCATCCGGTGAAGGTGGGCGGCTCGTATCCCTGTTTGACAAAGATGATGGGCGTGTCAGGGTCACGTCCAGCCGGGTGAGTTCTCAGGTAATCCCGCGCGCTGTTCAACGCCTCTTTGGTCTCATACTCATAGGAGGAGTTACCGATCCACAAGAAAAGCTGAGATTCAGAGACAGAAAACAAGAAAAAGAGACAAATTACTCAAAGAGTCTGCTGCGTAAGTTGCCAAAAACTGAGCTTTAGGCCTGATTCTGTCTTTCCGTGTGAAGTATTACATAAATAACCTTGAGCTGAGTCACTACCACCAGTATAGATTAATTAGAAACCATAGCAGGAGGAAACAATAAGCTTGTGTAATACAGTATAGTGTTTGTTTCATATCTATCAGTTAATGTGCAGTGAGTTTCACAATCTTCCTGATGAGATGCTCATAAACAGGAAGCAGGCCCCAAATCAACGGCAGGGTCTGACTGATTTCAGCTCCTTTGATTGCTTACCTCTTCCCAGGTGTCCAGCAACATGACGTCATCTTCATCTAGGTCACACTGGGCGAAATCATCCACCTCAGTAATCTTAAAGCGCCCCGTCTGATTGGAGCATTCGAACAGCCGGGGACTGTGAAGCGGCTCCTCCCTCTCAAATCTGAAATGACACAGGCCGTCCTGTCGTAACAGCAGATAATGTTCCCTCTCTCTCTCTGTGTATGATGACATTGGGCATATTCCACTGACCTTGGTATAAAAATAATCCAGACAGATTTAATGTAAGCTTGGAAATGGTTCAAAATATGATTAAAGGGCCTTTTTGGATGAATCCTGAAGTCCTTGCTAATTTGTTATTACTGGCTATATTTTTACTTTCTGGACCCAGATTGAGCGCCCTTCATTGTAAATACTTGACTGCTGGAGTGTGTTGTTAAGCGAAAAGCCAAAAATATCCTATTTTTGTCACAATATGCAAAAGCAATGCTGCCATTAAAATATTTTACCTCCTGTCACTGGCATAGGAGCCCTTTCCACCCAAAGCTATCCAGAATTCAGCAGGTTCCTGGCCCTCCATCACCACCCGCTTCTCATGCCTGGACAGCACATCAGACATCGCTTTCCCCATCTCTCTCTCATCCCCATTACAGCCCTGGGATAGAAGCAGAAATCAGGGGGGAAATGGTTTTAATGTGTCAAATACAAACTAAACTAATATTTATGTTATTTCAAAGCCTGCTACACAGCCCCATGATAGATACCTTTCCATACCACAGGTAGGAGATATTGTCAGTTTTCAGCAGGAAGACGTCATTGGAGCTTAGAGAAGCGGCCCTGGCCACCACCTCTGTGGCTTTAGTATTCAGCTCATTAGTCCCTCTCACCTGGAAGAGCCTGGCATCTTTGGCAGGGTTAACCACACCAGGTCGACCTGTTCCTCCCTTTAGACACACACACATTGAGTTTCCAGTTTCTTTCAACTTTTATTTAAAGCTTTGATCGATCTATTTTTGCATCATGGATACTTTTATTGTATCCATGTAAATCTCATTTTTAATTTAGATTTTGCTGGATTACTTCCATGTGTCATAATTTCACACACAAACCATACAGATATTTTACTTTTAGTCATTGGTGAGAATTTCTAATCCAGTTAAGAATCCTTTTCAGTGTGAAAATCATAAAATCATACCTCAAAAATGATAAGTTTGCCTTTGAAAATAGCCAGGAAGTGGCGGGGCTCCTTTCCCATGACCACTCTGACCTGAACTGGGGCTCCATTGTACTTGTTATCAATATTGACAGCCTGGAAGGCACTTGCTGCAATCTCATCGCTTGTGGCATGGCGTCCCTGAAGTAACAAAGAAAAGACGTTTACACATTGAAGGTGCTTGTCAGTTTTCCAGAAGCAGGAGGAAATGGAGAACAAGGAAGCATAGATTGGTTTGACACTGACCTGCCACATGTAGAGTATGTACTGCTGCTGGCCTGCTCTTTTATATGAATACAGCACCAAGTAGCAGTCTCCTCCATAAAACTGCCCGTAGGTTTTTGGGTCTATTTCAGCCAGTTCCAAATTCTCAATGCACCACACCTGACACAGGCAAACAACAGCTCAAACAACACGCAACAATGCAACTGAAGTCTGAAAAGTATCTGCACTGTGTTTGTCTGTATTCCTGCATATGTTTTCCCACCTTAACGTCTCCTGATGCATCGTCCACCATGCGGTACTGTGCTGCCAGTTCAGGGCGCGCGTGTAGCTCCATCACGTCAAACTTTCCGTCGTCGACCTTAGCTGTGCGGACACAAAATGTTCAGAGTTAATGATGAACAGCATAATATCAGCAAATAAGATTAAATAGCATATCAAGAGATAATATGTTAACTGTGCTGGAATTTATTTTGAAGAAGTGGATTGAGCAGTAGATTTGAAGAGGCTACCTATCTTTCCAACGTTGTGTGTGGTACCCAGGCCCTGAGTTTGGTCTCTGTCTGTCCAGGATTTGAACAGGTGCTTAAAGATTGCTGACTCTGCTCCCTCAGCCATCACCTCCACAGTGGTGCTGGCTGGGTACTTTTTTGCTTTAATGTAGCTCTGTAGGAAAAGATTGATGGACAAAACTTGTAGTGAAAAACATCTCCAAAAAAGCACATAAAAACTGAGATAATCCCCTCAAGCCATGCGATCCTTGGAAAAGAATAAAACGATGAATTTATATTTATCCAAAATCATTTAAGGAGAAAGAGGATTAAAATTTACACAATTAATTTATAAGACAGAACAGGAGGCACTAAGAGATCCTTGGTGTCGTCATTCTGTATACTCACCAGTGCCCGATTCATAGCTCCTTGTCGCTCTTCTTTGGAGGCCTTCTTTCCTTTCCAGACCATCACACTAGACCCTTTGTTGTCCAGAATGAAACAGTCCTGAAACCCCAAAAGAAAAAAAACATTGAAACTGAACCACTTTTCTTTTTTAATACTAGCATCTAGGGAACATTCTCAAAGAGTGAACACTAATTACCGAGGATTTCAGAAGATCTTGTGTCAGAGGTTGTTTGGCCACTTCTTGAATCACTAGATTCCCACTATTGTCATAAACGCTGAGGAAGAAAATCAGAAAAAATGGGTGTGATATTGGTAAATAGTTGAAATCAATTTCTACAGTTTTGTGTGATCAATGCAGTGGAAGCATAATGTACTTACTGGTAGAGTCGGACACTGTTTTTCTGCGCACTATCAGGCACATCATCGGAAGTGGCCTCCTTCAGCTGTGCCGGTTTTGGTCCGAGCACAGTCGTCAGGAATTTCATGAGCTCGGGCGAGCTCCGCTCATCTCCTCCTTCCACAACACCGATCTGAGCGCGACCTCCGCGTTCCCTGTCCCGGATGTCCTGAGCCAACAAGACCGCCTGGAAAGACGGAGGGAGAAACAAAGACACAAAAGTGAAAACTGTTCGCTCAGTGACAACAGCGACTAAAAGGTTCACGTGTTACACAAAAATCTACACTATCACTGTAAAAGAACTGGTTGTTATATAGTACACATATCTCATTCAAACACATGCACTTTTTCTGTGCCTAATGTTTATCTAACATTAATACTCAGGGTTCAGTATTTTGCCCAAGGAAACTTTTGCATGCAGACGGGAGCAGGCGGAGATCAAACCACCTGTTTTACCTGATGAGCTAAAAGGTAAATGGACTGATTCTTATATAGCGCTTTTCAAAATAAATAAATAAAAGCTGTTGGTTTTTCCTTTTCTGTTGTTACCATTCCTTCCTAACTCTTCTTGCATGCATGTTTCCAATTTCACAGACAACTGAAAGCTTACTGCTAAAGGCAGTGGTGTACATTATTGAAGATCCACAGCCGACAGGTTTCAAGAATTAAAAAAAAAAATCACTTTACAGACACTTTCAGTGCTCCTTAATTTTCCAAGGGTTTGCCACAGTGGATGGATGCACGTTTGATTTGGCACACCTTCTATGTCCTTCCTAATCAGAATCAGAATCAGAATCAGAATCAGAATGGGGTTTATTGCCAAATGTTGAGCAGGTTTACAACATTAGGAAATTGCTGCGGTGCTTCAGTGCAATGATGCAATAATGCAACCGAGGCCCTGAGTTCATAAAATTCACTTGACACACAAGAATAAATTAAATTAGTCATTAGTCAATCTAGTCATTCTCCCTTTGTCAGAAACAGCCTTAGTGCAGACATATTTTATCACCTTTTTGTTCGTAAAATGTTAAATTTCTTTCCTCTTTCCCACTTTGCTTCCACGGTGTGTATTTTTCACGAGATCTGACTACTTCTCGTGCCGCTGCTTATTGTAACCAATCAGTGCAGAGGATTACCTTGAGCTTCTCTCTTCTGTTGCTCTGGGGACCGTTCCACTGCACTATAGCTTTCCCGATATCCAGAAGAAATATATCTCCTTTGTTAAAGCTGCTCCATGACACCTCCACCTGCATGGAAAAACACACACAAACGCAAACACAGTGGAGAGTTGAATAACATTCAAACGGACAGTACACTCCGTCTGAAACAATACAGCGTATTAATTAATCACACTCTCATACCACCCCTCGGGCAATTAACACCTACACAGACAGCTACGACAACAAGACATAATCTGTTTAAGGAGGGGTGCCAACACCTCTCTGTAGCGTGACTGTGTGAAGCCACTGATAGCAGCAGAGGGAGGCAGGGAGTAAGACTCTCGTAAAGCCTTTCATATCCCTTTAATTTGTTTTCTGAATACCTCTGTTGCTGTGACATCCTTCCTCCCTTTGACATGCAGCAGTCGCAGGACGTTGTAGGCGTTTGTTTCAACGTGGTTGAAACCTGAGGCCACTCCACCCTTCTTGTAGCTGTGGAGAGAGAAGTTTACTTTACCAAAGTTCAAGTGCAATAAAAATATAAACCCAGTGACTTGAAACTGAATGGACATTTAAAAAAATAAAAAATTAAAGGAACATTTTTTTTCTTATCAGTATGATTTTTTTCCTTAAGGTTGTATAACCATAAAGCAAACATGCAACTAAAGGTTAAAGGTTAATAAATTGGGCAAGAGAAATTGGTGTTTTTTAATGCTAGGCCTCAGAAAACAAGTGTGTTTTGTGTCATAATCATTTCATAGAGGCGGATTAGTGTTGTAAGCCATGACTCAGGAAGATTACAACATAAGTGTGTGTGTTTTTGTGTGTTTGTAAAGGAGAGACTCATTCCCTTGAGTATATCACCATCCCCCTTTCGTTCAAACACCAGCTGCCTTCATCGGGAACTCACATCAGGCCATTTTTGAAGTAACTCCTGAACCGCGGTGACTCGTAGCCCTGCACCTCCCTGTACTGGACCGGACTCCCACCCAGGTACTCGTCCAGCTGGGTGACGTAGATGGCAGCAGCACCTTGTTCATCCTGAGAGGAGGTTCTTCCAACCCAGTAGTGGATATCAGCAGACTGGCGGGAGCCTTTATTCTCACTTATCTGATGATAATAATGAAAAGCATGAGAGGTGACACATATATGAGATATATGTATATATATTTATATATCTCATGAAATCACCCAGTTTTTTACTCACATATAGAACTATGTAACAGTCTCCCTCAAAGAAATTGCCAAAGGCCTGAGGTGGAACGGGATCCATTTGCATTTTCTGAGTAAAGAAAGCAACCATTTAGACCTCAAACAAATATGAGATTTCAACATGCCGCAGCTCTACATAAAGCTCAGCAGTGTGGACAACAATGTCAACAACATAGGGTGCGTGTAATGCGTTTTAGACTCACATTGACGGTCCATATCTGAAGGCCTGGCTTTCGGCGGACATTTTTAAATGCATTATTGTTTTCATTCATCATTCTGCTGAACTGTAAACATAAAAACAAAACAAAAAAACATGTGTACTTATCGTTATTGTCACAAACAGTTTACATATTTGCATGAAAACTATTGATGAGCGTCTAATGTCTTAATTGTTATAGATTAAACTCAAAATATTCTCACTGTTAAATTTGAATGTAGGTTTGCTAGGGTTTACATACTGTGTCATCACATTTGTTAATGCCCCAAAAAACACATCTTTATGCCACAATGTGACAGCAAGCTGTTAAGACGCTTAGCGAAAAGTTTTTTTGTTATACCACGGTTATAACCAGGTATCTGTTTATAAGATATGTTTATAAGATATAAGACGGACATAACTTCTAGTTCTACAAAATGATGTCACTGTACATGTAAGTGCCTTTAACCTACACTAGCTTTAATGGCCAGAAGGGGGCAGCTTTTCATAATGCGAAAAGAAGTTGTAATGTCCACAAGAAACCTCTGACATGGTTTTACTACTGTAGTAAACACTCTTCTAATGAGTTTATGATCTTGTTAGTTTAAGCACAACACAGGGCAATATTCATTTAGTAAATTATGACAATATTTAAAATGAAAGCGGACGTTCACTGTTTGACTGTAGTAAAAAAGAAAAAAAAATCTTAAAAATAACAGGTTTTCTGCACTTGCTTTTAAGCTTGTATTTTTGTTAGCCAAGGCTAGCAACCCTCTTAATACACAGTCATTAATGCATACACCTTATTAATCAAACCAGGTTGATAGCGTTAGCATAAACTGATTAACTACAACAAGAAGTATGGTCAAGGCCTTTAAAAAAAAAAAAGAGGGTAAAAAAGCAGAACTTAAGAGATGACATTATGGTGGCTACAGTCTATGGACCTTTCACTGTGTTTTGCCATGTGATTAAAATAAGCTATCCCTGTTACATAATGATCTCCTTTTTATTCATGTTGTCCACTGACACCACCACTAGCTTGTTTTAGCTTTTCAGCAAAAGGTAATAGCTAGCTAGCTGTGGAAAAAGAGTAAAAACTATAAGAATTAATTAAAGCTTGTTGTTTGTTTGTTTGTTTTTAACTGTTTTTTGCAAAAAGAAGACGAAAAAAGGAACGAAAAATAAAACAGCTAAATGATATAAAATTAGCACAAACTCTGAAGAGATAAATACTTAGAAGATTAACTAGCACACTGAAAAATACATGTTCACTCCTGACTCCTTAAACAGTACTTGAACAGAAAAAATATTTCACTTTAGAGACCTCTTCCTCACTCTTCCTCATCCTGGCATCGCTGTCTTTTCACTGGAAACAGATGTCTCCAAAATGACAAGTGAATGCTTTCAAAGGACTGACTCTCTGACAGCAAAGCACCTCTAATCCTGCTAATGAGTATCAGCTTGGTGCTGTAGGAAAATACAAGCCCTGCAATCAGCGGTGCTTTAACAGCCTCTTGACTGGGATATCAGAAACAACAGCACTGATAAGCAAACAGTATCACCAGCTGAGCCAACGTTAGGCTGTATGGAAACAAGAACATATTATGAATGCACTTGCAACACTGATGCCATAATATGACATTGTGAAACAGCTGGAGTAGATGTGGTTGTTATGTGTGAACTTATTCTTGGGATAAGTAATATAAAGCACTATTACATGTACTAGCTCTAATCTTTGTTCCGGGTCTAGTAATAAAATATCTACCCGGGCAGTGATTGGTGGTGTGAGATGAACACTTAGTTAACCACACCCTTTATAGTATTATTAACAGGCTCTGGTATTTATGTCTTCTGATAAAGCGGTGACACACACTCGACAAACAAAAGAAGCAGGTGAGATTTGAAAATGAAGAGACAGCACTTGAGCTTAAATAGCTAATTTTAAGCTAACGTCTTATGTTAGCTTATAACGCAATTAATCAGGTTGCGTATGAGCAGCTTTGAAAAGAGATTATCCAAGTTTAGGCATCTAGGTGCCAAAAGTGTATGTTGCCAAATGTACATGTGAAGTACAGGTGTAATATTGACAAAAATATAAAGACTTAAAATATCTAATCGTAATGAGTCGATTGAAATATCAGCTACACAGCAAAAATTTATCTAGATAAAGGTCAAAACAGGGAGGGCTCTATCAAACATAATGACCCAAGTCCAGTGAACAAAAACAGGGTGTGTTTTATTGCTTTTCAACTCAACTTTGTCTAAATTAAAAAGTAATGCAATCTCAAAGTGTCTGTAAACTTGTGCTAAACTTTGGTCGTGCCCTGTGACCTTACTATCAGCCATGAGACTGGAGGGCGTCTGTTAACAGCTTGAGAAATAAACACGATACATATTTAAATGTCATTCTTTTTATTTATTTTATTATTTTATTGTTAAAACGTAGTCCCCAAATTTTATTTCCCTTTTCTTAAAAACAAGGTACACCCTGCCCTGCACGTTTGTCCATTACCCATTAGAGTTTGACAGGAATGCCATAGTTCCATTTCAAACAGAGCACACATTCAGCTGTAAAGTGTATGTAGACAGAGATTATTCCTTATAACATACGGATAAAAAACAAACATCTAGATGAAGAAGTGACGCCTCTGTGATATTTGATTAATTGAAAGTAATCACCTCAACTACGATCACGCCTGGTTGCCAGTTATCAGTGGCTTCAGCTGTGGTTGCAAATCCCTGTTATAAAAAATAAATAAACTGTGCAATCTGATCCCTGCTTAAAACAATTACTGAAAGCTTGAGCAAATAACACAGGAAAGATAAACCTGTGAGCGGCATTGCTTCTATTACTCAGACAGGAAAGACTGGTTCCCTATCAATTAACCTGCATTGTCCTTTGGTGGAGCATACACAATCACTTTTGTTAATGCTGCACCGTACGTATTTCTTCAACTCGTGTAAAATCACGTTGGTTAACCCCCCGCCCCCCCCAAACCTGTGTTTATAAAATACTTAAATGTGATAATAAAGATGTTATTCTTTCCAGATTTCACTGAGTCAGTGAAAATAAATAGAGGTGTGTTCACAAAGCAAAAAACAAGGTAGCTATTCTCAAAGAAATAGTAGTAGGATGGGTCTTACGTTGTCCTGTGACTGCCGTGGTGAAGTCCTGGCTGGTTCCTACAAGTTGTGGAGATAGTGATTTATGTAAAAGGTCTGTATTTATAAGATACCGCTGCCTTTTCCTCTTATGCGCAAGCTGCAGTGCGAGGCATAGAGGGCTGGATGTATTTGTTACCACACCCAGGTATGAACACACCTGCCATCTTCTATCTCAATATTTACAGTGCCACGGTGTTAGATACGCCCCCTCTCATTTCTTCCCAGCTGTCACACTTGATGCAGGTGGAAAGGGAGGTGTGTGTGTGTGTTGCACAATACACCACAGAGTCAAAAAAAGCCACTGAGACAGACCCCAGCTTCACTCGGTGTCCTGATTGTGATTTATAGAAGCCAATCACAGTTGTGTTTATGTCTGAGTCCTCAGCAGCACAGTGGGCATTACAGGGACCACTTGACACCAATTATTCATTTTACAACCGTTACAACTAGCAGATGGGGGAATTGGACTGAGGGAGCTCCGAGTGCTATTGGAAAGGAGTCAGACGCTTTTCCGTGGCTAAATCTCTCGTTCTGCGCGTACTCACACCGACACTTGAAGAACGCTTGACATTATCGAAGGTTTACAGCACCGGGCGTTCAAGCTTCCAGTGGAGAAGGTGTTGGCAGATTGTGCTTACATTTATTTGCAAAATGTGCGGAGATATTAAAAGTTTCACCCAAAGTCATTTCCACAGTAATAGAAGGGGGGGAAACATTATTCCTAAGCCGTACATTGAAGTTAATGTAATGAAACAATCATGGGTTGGTTCCTTAGAAAGTTAAGAACACCCTTGAGAATAAAGAGTGCAAGAATCTTCCAGATCTTATAGATCAGAATTGAAAAGAGCCTGTGAATGCTGACTGCTGTTAAACACTTCAGAATCAAAGCTCTTTTATTTCCCAACCAAGACCACCAAGCCCTGCATCTGCTGGTACCCCACACATTTACAAAGTAAGTGAGCAATCTTTTAAGTCCCCTTAATGTGCATTGCAGTCGGTGCTTAAATCACAGATCAGACTATCTTGCTGTTTTATGTTCAGCGTTACGTCGCTTATGCTTGTCTTTGTGTCATATAACTCACACAATCCATGCCTGCGAGTCTGAACACTACAGTGTTATATAACCATCTTAGATCACAAATTGAAAGCTAAAGCTTTTCTTACCTTTGACCTCTCACTTCTTCGTTCACTCTTGGCTTCCATTATGACCAGAAGATGACTTAGACACTGCACTGAACTTCAGTCCCTGCATATCTGAGGAGAAAAGAAACAAGCGCTCTCCAAGCTTGTACAAAGGGCTCGGTAATACCTAATCCACTGCTGCAGTAAAAGTGGCTGATACGCCAGCGGAAGCTAAAAGTTCACATCAAGATATCACATGAAGCTAAGCTCTCCTTTGGTTGCACATTAACCAGCTCATAAATGCTCGTGCTCATAAATTCATGTACTTAACCCAGCAGCCACAGCAGAGAACAGCGGAGCTCAAGTGTGAACTTCTTGGGATTTCCTTGGGTTTACAGTTTTGATTAAAACACAATAACATCAGCTCCTTTTGAATAAAATTGTAAATAAGAAAACTGTGTGAGAGCCAAAGACCTGATTGCAAATGAAAACACTGAATGTTTTGGCAATTCCTTCAGTTAGCATCATTAAGAGCTTTTTCATCCATGTTAAAATGTCACAAACTACAGTGCACAGAGCTCCAGCACTGATTCTTCTGGTATGATTTTCAACTCAAATGAAAAAACGTTTAAGGCAAACTCTTCCTTCAGTTGCTTCAAAATTTCTCCTAAAACATTAGAAATCCTTGTCACCTCTGCTAACGTTAAATACAGCACTGATAAACTATGCTATATTTAGACTTTCATCATTATCTGCACATTATCATTCATTTAGAGTCATGTTTTCTGGCCAATGGGAAGAGTCAGTTGGCCTCCAGTGTACACTTTCAGTGAGCCTCCGTGAACTGTGGGCTTCCCGTTCTTACCTGGTGTGCTCGTCTGCTGCTGTGGCCCATGTGCTTCTAGATTCAGAAATGCTCTTCTGCAAACCTTTGTTATTACAAGTGGTTGTAACTTACTGTTGCCTTCCCGTCTGCTCAGAGAAGTCCATCAATCTACTCTCCTGAGGCATCAACACAGCACCAACAACCATGCCACATCCAGTCATTTAAATCAGTTTTCTTCTTCATTCTGGTGCTCAGTTTGGACTTCAGCGGCTACCTTGACCATGTCTACATACCTATATCCACTGACTTGCTGCCATGTAATTGGCTGATTAGATATTTGCATTAATGAGCAGGTAAACATTGTAATCAATGAAGTGTTCATATGTTTCTGCATGTTTTTAAGTTCATATATTTTGTGTTTTCATTTTTTTACTGTAGCTGTCACATTGCTGTGTTTTGGGCTTTGTTCATATGGCTTATTAATGTTTTTTTTCTGTGTTAAGGACATGGGTTGTTACAGAGGTTCGTGAAAGCTGGTGTGTGCAGCCCACGCATTAGTTGAATTCAGGCATCGCTAAATGCTATGCACTGGTCCTTTAGTTCATTGTAAAATGATTATCACAGTTATTGCCATTAAGTGAGTTTTGTGAGAATCATTACTCCACGACAGACACAGACAGTGTGCAAACTTGCAACTTTAATAACGTTGTACAGTACGATTTCAACAGCATTCTTTACAATGCACCCAGGACCCTTTCCCCGAATAAATATAATTTTATATATCTAAGCTAATCTTTCCATTTTTTTTCCTCAAACATTTATTGGTGGACAGTGATGTCATCACAGATATTATTATTTTTTTCTTCAGTTACCTAAACGGCGTTTCAATGTCCTCAAGAATCATCAATTTACAGTCACTGCCGAGGATAAAATGATGTTGTTTAGTCACAAATCACATTGAATTGTAAAAACCTTTGGTAAATTTAACAATTCAATGCTACATAACTGAAAATCAAAAGTCTTCCAGGACTAACAAGCTACTTTTCTTCCCCCTCTAATCCAGGAAGTGTTCATTTCACTTCTTTTGGATTAAATGACGTTATCAAAGACTCATTTTCAACTTCAATTTAAAGATTCAGTGAATACGCTTTTGGAGAATTGACTAAATATGCAGCATAAAAATGCTCACCCCATAACCCGACACAAGAAAATCAGCACAGTAATGAAGGCACTTCATTCTGTAAAGAGAAGTTAAATCACAGTTGGTTAGAACGAAAAAAAAATCAAACGAGGAACGACGGCCTGCATAGCACTGCTCAACACAAAAACCCAACAGGTCATCGATTCTCAGAAACAAACGAAACAAAAATCAAAAAATTTGTGTATTTGATCGTTTTTCGGTAACTAAAATACTTGGAATAGTAAAACCTCCTCTCTCTGATAGAAAAATTACTTTATGCTTGTCTTGCGCTTAGAAACATTTAATATGTACATACAGTAATAGAATCTTTTTTCAGCTAGAGTCCTGTACAAAGAGTCCAAGAACCCAGAGAATCCATACTGTTGTTTTATTTTGATCAAGAGTAGATCATTTGCCTGAAATCCTCCAACTGGGGAAGCTTCCCAGAGCTCTTCGAAGGACTGGAGCCGGGCTACGGGGCCGTGGCAGAGAGGGGAGGCTTCTGTTCAGCAGGGCTTAGGCAGGAGGGATCAGCTGGAGTGGCTGTCTGCTACCTGTTCCTTAGGCTCTGTAATAGACTGTAAACATCCTCCTCTTTACTGAGACCCTCAAACAAGGGAATGAGTTCCAGAAGCTCCGTGTCTGTCATATCATCAAACCAAGACTGCACTGGGACCTGTGGCAGAAAAACACACCCACATTTACATTAGAATCAGAAAGAAAAAGAAAGACCGATCTTATTTAAAGAAGGAAGAAGTGGCTGACAATAGATACCATAGACGCTTAAATGTTGCATTACAGTCGGGGTGTTTTGTGTAAATAATTAATGAGGGAAATAAATCAAAGAGTGGCAGCAGCAGAAACTTCTCCACAGAGCTGAGAACTCTCATAAAATTGGGAACACTGCCTCTGGCACGAGAACAATGGTGATTATTATTAAATTATTATTATTATTATTATTAAAAACCCTGACAGTGTCTTACAGATACAATCATCGACATCAATAATCACTTCATAAGTAACTTATTTCCATCACAGCAGTGTATTTTGACCCCGTTCTTGATTAGGCAACAAGTGCAATTGTAGCCGCCATTTAGCTTAACCTTAAAACTTCTTAAGATGTCACATGTTTTGGGATCATGTGAAAAGGAGTTGTGCTGTGCAGAAGTCTTGCGCCACCTCTAATTTCTTTATATTTTGCCCGGAAAATAGGTGCAGTGATTAAATGAAGCGTGCAAACATACCTGGAAATACACTATAAATGAATATATGCAATTCTAACAAGCTTGAAAGTTAATATTTGTTTGACCGCCTTTGTTCTTCAACATAGTCTGTCATCTTTTAGGCAAGCTTCCTTCTTCTTGAAGGACATACAAAGCCCTTCTTTGGATCTTGGCTGCCTTTTTTTTGTTCTGTTCTCTGTCAAGATGATCCCACAGTGCTTCAATAATGCTGAGGTCCAGGCTCTGTGGAGGCCAATCCATGACCCAAAGTGTTCCACTGTGCGTTTTTGGATCCAGTTATGCTTTTACTGCACTCGGGCTCCTCACCTGTTCTTCCCACCTGCATCCCATCGACGGCAATCAGCAAAGCAGTATTTAAGACTAGCCTAGTTCTCCAGTCTTCGCCAGTTCGTTAGCTACCTCGCTGTGGTAACTAGGCCTCCTTGTCTCTCATCATGTTATTCCCTGGTACTAACCCCTATCTCAATGTGTCCTCAGTCTGCTTGTGAAGACTCCAAGTTAACCCACCTGCTGCGTATTCACTTGGACGCTAGTTGCTTCAGTCACAACTCACCGATCCAGCCTGCAACTTTACTCCTTGGACTCACCGCTCACACCTGCCTGCCATCATCTCTGGATCACTGGAAGCATAAGGTTGGAACCTCACCCTTTCACACACCCTTCCAGACACTCACTCGGCTACTCTCCCCACCTTTCATCCCTATAAGCCTGACCCCTTACCTCATTCTTACCTTTGGCCATTGCACCCAAGCTCTGGATATCGACCACCGGGGACTCATACTACGTTCCCACGCTTCCTTTCCCTTGCATTCAAAGTTTGTTAAAAATCATTTTTCGTGTGTCCATTGAGTCTGCTTTTGGGTCCACTCCCACCTACCGGCCTTTCGGCCTTGACAGATTTTCAGTCCAGTTCTTGCATAATTTGTCTTTTATTCCTGTTTTCTCGTTTATGAATGGTTTCTTGACAGCCACTTTTCCACTGAGACCATTTCTGAAGCCGCTTCAGTGAACAGTAGATGCATCAACTGAAGGGCCAGATGCCTCTTCTTCTTTTATCCTTCTCTTGTCCAGTTTCCTCAAATTCTTTAATGACACACTGCTGAGATATGCCAAGTTTTTAGCTAGTAGACGATGCCAAAATACTCATTTGTGTCTGTGAAACTGTGTTGTCTTTGACATTTTTCATACATTTAATTAAAGAAATGTGAACAAATGTGAACAAGAGTTTTTTGCTAAGTTATCTGTTATGTGTGGATAAAAAACTGGCGCCTACTTCTGAAGAAAGAACAAAATGGTCAGACACAATGACTGGACTGTTGATAAAACAGCAAATGTCCAAAGGAAAGACCTTGAAAGCCTGAAGAACTATTGCTCAAGACCACTTTAAAAAATTCCAAGAAAATCCGGTTCCTTGGAAGCAGAATATGCACAAACGAGGCGTGGTTCAAGACTTTTCCACAGTGTTCTACTTCCTGCTACCAAGACTGAATGACTTTGAATCTGTATGTTTTAGATCAAAAATCTCTTTAAAAAATAACTTACTGCATTCTCAGGGTGGAAGATGTAAGAGGCAGGTGAGTTGTCTATGATGATGACTTTGCTGAGCTCTCGGCCCAGTCGGCTGAGGTCTTTGACGTAGTTTCCTCTGTGGAAAACACAGGATTCCCTGAAGAGACGGGCGCGAAACACCCCCCATTGGTCCAGCAGGTCCGCCACAGGGTCAGCATACTAAACAGGCCAAAGCGCATCAGGTTGAGCAGCACACAGCAAATGAACAGAAGTATTACTGTAACTGTCAAAGCAGCTGGGAACCAACCTTGGCTAAGCTTGCTGTGAAGAGGACACATTCAAACATCTCCCCCATTTTCTGGAGGAACTCGTCCACATGAGGCCTCTTCAGCACGTACACCTGAAACCGAGACACGTAACGAACACGTCTTCGTTAT